AAAGTAATTCCGAAAAATGATAGCATTATACAAAAATTTTTTCTGTATTTTTCGAATCAAGATCGATTAATCTTCAGCAGAATGGGTATACGTTTACAAGATTTTGCTTTACGTAACTAGTGACGCAAAATCTTGTAAACGTAAGAGTAACGATTGAAATTTGAGGAAAATAAGAGTAAAATTTGTTCCAGTCGCACTATTATTGCTTATAATTATATGCCTTGCGACCACTATGACGTTATTGAACACAAACGAAACTGGAGTGGAGGGCAACTGAAGCAATTTTGATTATTTCAAATATTTTCTATTCCTATTGTTCATCGCTTGCAAATACAGTACATTCAATGATTATCTCTGTACTTCTGCTCGACGAATGAAAATTTGAAATATAACTAACTTCGCTTAGATGCAGTTGTGGCAATCGACATATTTGCATCTCTTTGTATGTGTTCTGGAAATTGTGTCATCAACAGGACAAGGTAAGAAAAAAACAATATTTAGACCTGTTTACACTAGCTATACATAGGATTAGCATGACCATGAGCCCACGGCATCAAAAATTGCTATATCAATTATTGGAAGATTTACTCCCAAAGTATTGTAGCCTGATCCAACTAAGCGTGGAATGACACACGTTCCCTGATCCGTTAAGGTCTCTTCGCACGACCCAATCTTTTTGCATCCAATCCACTTCTGACGTATGAAATATAGTCGGTTATAAATAAAAAGTACTGCATTGGCTTCATTGGGTTTGCTGCTCATAGACATAACAAGACAACAGACTATAAAACATCCATCAGAAGTGAATTGAATGCTACAAAATTAGTTCTTAAAAACAGTTTATACAGCATAAAGTATGGTATGCAAAAAACAAGCAAAAGTGTGCGGAGTTAATTTTAAACAATCAAATGACTTTTATGTTGTAGTTTTAACGAATATATATCGTAAGTAACCTAATCATAAATTGATGCATACAGTTACATTTGGATTCCAAAGTTCAAACTACACCGTTGGTGAGGCAGATGGTAAATTGCAAGTTTGTCTTGGTGTTAGCAATTTTGATGGGACTTCCTTTTCAGGAACGTGAGTAAATTTTCTTTATAATAATTTTTAAGCACATCCGGGTAGCGGACGGAATACTTTGTAATTGAATTGTCCATGCAATATTGTTAAAAATTTTATTCAATTTATTTCTCTTTTTTTCACGCTCGTACTGTAATTTCAAAGTGAACAGTCCTCTTTTTCAACATCTTTGATCTTTAGATGAAAAATATCAGTTTTTATGACAATGATTAATAAATCGATCAATCTGTGCTATAGATAAATAGTGCTATTTCTCAACTTGTTTAATCTTTAGATGAAAAATATCAGTTTTGATGACCATACATCCATAAATCTGTACAACCAAGATATGCAACTGATTTTGCGCCTATTGGTTTAATGTGTTTATCATAATTATTTTAAGATTAACATTCAGAAATGGCAGTGCAACAAGCGGAGAAGATTACTCAGATGATGAGCAAACTGTTGGAATACAAAGTTTTATTCACATAGCTGATTGCGTTGATATTTTGATAATTGATGATAAAAGTTATGAAGGCAACCAAAATTTTACAGTTGTTTTGACATTAAATGACCCCAACGTTCAAATTACTATTGGCGAAGCAACCGTGACTATCATAGACGATGACGGTAAGAAATTTCAGATGAATTTTTGTATAATTACTGACATTTTTGTAAATGCTAATATAATAAAGTCCAGATGCTGGATTTCTTTATTGTTCACTTTTGATTCACGAAAATATGCAAGGCGGCTAGGGAAAATACATCTCGATAGGAAAAACAAAATGCGTAAGTTCTCTACACTATACGGAGGGTTATTATGAGTTCAAAGCACTTTGCTAGTCTATAATTCTTATTATTTTCGTAATTATGGGCAGGTTATATAAACCTTCTCATGCTTGCATATATTTCTACAAATGTTATCCACGGTTTCATAACTAAAATTGTAATCACTTTTTCAGATTCCAGAATTTTCAAGGAAAAAGACTTCATTCTTCCGTTAAATATTCTTTTCAGATATCGAAGAATGTAATACAGATTCTAACAATTGCAATTACAGTACCTACTGTAACAATACACATGGTTCTTTCAATTATTTATGCAAAAACGGCTTCTCAGAAAAGGACTATATAAATAGTATATGTAATAAAAAATTTCGTATACATTTTTCCTTCCATTAATTATAACCTAAAGATGAATCTAGCGCGAGTTTTTATAGTAAAAAATCCTAACCCTTTCGTTTAATATTTTTTCAGATATCGACAAATGCATTGCTGGATCTCATAATTGCCATCATAACGCCTACTGCAATAATACTGATGGTTCTTTCAATTGTTCATGTAAGAGCGGCTACTTTGGAAATGGAACTGACTGTAAAGGTTAGCCGCATTTAAATATTAGAGACGATATAATTCTAAATTCGTACGCTTCAAAACTTTGAAGAAATTCTAATTATCCTGTTCATTTTTCAAAGACATATAAATATATAACTACCCTCTAATTTTTGTTATTATTTCATTCAGATATCGATGAATGTGGTGTGAGTTCTCATAATTGCCATAATTAAATCTATATTTCTAATTATCTGGGCTCAAATTAAGTCCATCATAGGAAATGAAAATTTTGAATTAGAATATTTCGCCCTTTATGGGAAGAAAATTTTGTATAAACTTCCTCATGCACATATTTCTACGGATGTTATACACTTTTTCACAACCCCCATTGTAATGCATATGCCTGCTTGAAAAAACTGAGTTCTCTTCGATGGCACTTGCAAAATATCAGAATTACTAGGAAAATATGAACACTATAATTACAAAAAAATTCTAATCCTTAATCAAATATTTTTTCAGATGTCGACGAATGCATTGCAAAATCTCATAATTGCCATCATAACGCCTACTGCAATAATACTGATGGTTCTTTCAATTGTTCATGCAAAAGCGGCTACTTCGGAAATGGAACTAACTGTGAAGGTTAGCCGTATGTAAATATTAGAGACGATGTAATTCTAACTTCGAACAGTTCAAATTTTTGAAGAAATTTTAATCGCTTTGTCAATTTTTAGAACAGATATAAATTACTACGCTCTAACTTTCGTTAATATTTCATTCAGATATCGATGAATGTGGTGTGAGCTCTCATAATTGCCATGACAATGCCTACTGTAACAATACTAATGGATTTTTCAACTGCACATGTAAAAAAGGCTACTTAGGAAACGGAACAGACTGCCGAGGTTTGCCGAAAATATTTCATGAATTACTGCATTTGAATATATATATATATATATATATATATATATATATATATATATATATATATATATATATATATATATATATATGTATATATATATATTTTGGTTGGGCTCGAAAGTCGATAAGAGAAAATGAAAATTTTTAATTAGAATATTTCGCTCTTATAGGCAGAATATTTTGTATAAACTTTCTAATGCACATATCTCTACGAATGTTATGCATGGGTTCACAACCTCCATTGCAATGCCTGCTTCAGAAAACTGAGTTTTTTTCGGCAAAATATCAGAATTAGGAGGAAAATATTAACACTATAATCATAAAAAATCCAAACCTTTTCGTTTAATATTTTTTCAGATATCGACGAATGCATTGCAGAATCTCATATATGCCATCATAACGCCTACTACAATAATACTGATGGTTCTTTCAATTGTTCATGCAAGAGCGGGTACTTTGGAAATGGAACTTACTGTGGAGGTTAGCCGTACGTAAATATTAGAGACGATATAATTCTAAATTCGCACGCTTCAAAACTTTGAAGAAATTTTAATTATCCTGTTCAGTTTTTCAAAGAGATATAAATATATAACTACGCTCTAACTTTTGTTATTATTTCATTCAGATATCGATGAATGTGGTGTGAGTTCTCATAATTGTTACAATTGAACCTATATTTCTAACTATCTGGGCTCAAATTAAGTCGATCATAGGAAATGAAAATTTTGCACTGTTTGCACAGTTTTTCATTTTATCAAATGCATTGTTTCACAACCTCCATTGTAATGCCTGCTTGAAAATTCTGAGTTCTTTTCAATGGCACTTGCAAAATATCAGAATTTTTAGGAAAAGATGAACACTATGATTAAAAAAAAATCCTAATCCTTGATTAAATCTTTTTTCAGATATCGACGAATGCATTGCAAAATCTCATAATTGCCATCATAACGCCTACTGCAATAATACTGATGGTTCTTTCAATTGTTCATGCAAAAGCGGGTACTTCGGAAATGGAACTGACTGTGAAGGTTAGCCGTATGTAAATATTAGAGACGATATAGCTCTAACTTGGAACGATTCAAAACTTTGAAGAGATTTTAATCAGTTTGTTGATTTTTAGAACAGATATAAATTACTACGCTCTAACTTTCGTTAATATTTTATTCAGATATCGATGAATGTAGTGCGAGTTCTCATAGTTGTCATCACAACGCCTACTGTAACAATACTGATGGATCTTTCAATTGTACATGTAAAAAACGCTACTCAGGAAACGGAACTGACTGCCGAGGTTTGCCGAAAATATTTCATGAATTACTGCATTTGAATCCGTATTTCAATTTTTTTTGGCTCCAAAGTCGATGTAAAAAAATGAAAATTTTTAATTAGAATATTTCGCTTTTATAGGCAGAATATTTTGTATAAACTTTCTCTTGCACATATCTCTACGAATGTTATGCATGGTTTCACAACCTCCACCTTAGTGCCTACTTTAGAAAACTGAGTATTGTCGTTGGCAATTTCAAAATATCAGTATTTTGAAGGAAATATGAATGCTATAATTTTAAAAAAAAATTAACCCTGTCGTTAAATATTTTTTCAGATATCGATAAATGTGCTGCTAGTTCACATAATTGCCATCATAACGCCTACTGTGACAATTCTGGTGGTTCTTTCAATTGTACATGTCAAAATGGCTACCTCGGAAATGGAACTGACTGTGAAGGTTAGCCGGACGTAAATATTTGAGACGATATAATTCTAATTTCGCACGCTTTAAAACTTGGAAGAAATTTTAATCGCCCTGTTCATTTTTAAAAGAGTTATAAATAACTACGATCTAACTTTCGTTAAAATTTCATTCAGATATCGATGAATGTGGTGCGAGTTCTCATAACTGTCATCACAACGCCTACCGTAACAATACTGATGGTTCTTTCAATTGTACATGTAAAAAAGGCTACTCAGGAAATGGAACAGACTGCCGAGGTTTGCCGAAAATATTTCATATAAATTACTGCAAATGAATCTATATTTCTGATTTTCTGGGCTCAAAAGTCGATCAAAGGGAATTAAAATGTTGAATTAGAATATTTTGCTCTTATACGCAGAATATTTTGCATAAACTTTCCCTTCCACATATCTCTATGAATGTCATATTGCATGGTTTCATAACATCCACTCTAGTGCCTGCTTCAGAAAACTGAGTATTGTCGTTGGCAATTTCAAAATATCAGAATTTTGAAGGAATTATGAATACTATAATTGTAAAAAAAGTTGACCTTGTCGTTAAATATTTTTTCAGATATCGATGAATGTGCTGCTAGTTCACATAATTGCCATCATAACGCCTACTGTAACAATTCTGATGGTTCTTTCAATTGTTCATGCAAAAGCGGCTACTTCGGAAATGGAAATGACTGTGAAGGTTAGCCGTATGTTAATATTACAGATGACACGATTCTAACTTCGCACAGCCCAAAACGTCGACGAAATTTTAATCGCTCTTATAATTTTTCAAAGAGATATAAATTACTACACTGTAACTTTTGTTATCATTCCATTCAGATATCGATGAATGTGGTGCGAGTTCTCATAATTGCCATGGCAACGGCTACTGTAACAATACTGATGGTTCTTTCAATTGTGCATGTAAAAATGGCTACTCAGGAAACGGAACTGACTGTGAAGGTTAGCCGTACGTAAATATCAGAGACGACATAACTCTAACTTCACACGGTTGAAAAGTTCGAAGAAATTTTAATCGCCCTGTTCATTTTTTAAAGAGATATAAATTATTTCGCTCTAACTTTCGTTATTATTTCATTAAGTTACCGACGAATGTGGTGCGAATTCTCGTAATTGCCACGACAATGCATACTTGTAATAGTACTGATGGTTCTTTCACTATAATTATAAATATAATTATAAAAAAATCCTAATCGTTAATTAAATATTTTTCAGATATCGACGAATGCATTGCAAAATCTCATAATTGCAATCATAACGCCTACTGCAATAATACTGATGGTTCTTTCAATTGTTCATGCAAAAGCGGCTTCTTGGGAAATGGAAATGACTGCCAAGGTTAGCCGTTTAAATTGTAAATGTCTCTTTATAGCTTGCTTTCATTAGTTTCATATTTAAAAAGTAGCTTGTCATGACGAGCTCTGTTTTCTGTGCTCTAAAATCTCGTATACAATAAACAACTCTAACACAGAGTTGGAATAATTTTGGCAATGTGCGTAATTCTATAACGCACATGCCGATTTATTAATTATTATTATATAACATGCAGTGTTTTTTACTGACGAATCCGCCACTTTGAAAAGCGATAATAACACACGTGCGATTATTCATGATAATAACACATGTGCGATTATTGTGTTTGATCTACCGATCTGGAATCAGGAAGGCGGATAAAAAACTTTTCAAAAAAACACAGTTTTTTATCATCCCACCAAGGTGGGATGTAACGAAATAAGTACAAAGTGTGCAGTAGGTCAAGACCACATGCACGAAAAATCAAAGCCGAATCAGCAGTGTTAATGCTTGACCAACGAGTGTACGAAAAATCAGATAAACCACGACGCGCAAAATATTCAAGTAATGTCTGTGCAAGATAAATGTCTGAACAGCGATGAAGTGTAAAAGAAACATTAATGAAACATCAACAAAAATTAAGTATGGAGCCTCAATGCCGTGCGATAGGTAGAGATTGACGATGGCTGCACACCAGATTGAATTAACTGCGAGGTAATAGCGGCCAATGGTTTGGTTGAAGGTAAGACCGTATGACTGTTGGTGTTGGACGAACGCCCACCGGAGTTAGCCGTTTGAACTTCGAAGGCCTACAAGCAAAATAAGGAGTCAGTCAAAACATTTCTAACCTCCCCCCCCCGTTAAATGGCGAGCGCGAAAGAGAATATCAAATTGTAAACAAGCGAGCACCAGGCGGCGAACAAAAGTTTTGCAATTGTCGGGCCAGGCACCGTAATACCACTCAAAACCAAAAAGCGCGCCGTAGCCTACCTAGGCTAGCCGCAGACTCGGTGTACAGGTTACGGTTAGCAGAGTCATGCAAAACAACTGCCAAAGTTCGAGATCTGCCTTAACAGACTAAGTAAGGCGAATGAAATGATGATCACACACCGTACCCCTGTGGTCTCCTACCTGGTGCGGAGCACCGTACGTGCGAGGGTTCTAATTCCACCTGAAGATTAGGAATTACACCGGGGTATTCTTTTTTAACAATTTACGAATATCTGAAATCCAATGAAATAATGCATTCGTGTATGATTCGAACCAAAAGCCGGTATCAGGCAACTTGCATCCCGCATAGTCACAGCGAAAAATTCAGGAAACTTGTAAAAAGATTGCTGATTTTTCTGACACTTCCAGTGTCGTTTACGACAAAAAAAATGGCTAGTAGTTTAGCAAAGATATCTTAATTTACCTCTATGCAGTTTTTTGTGTTCTTTGCTGCTTAGTTCCAAAGTGTTTTTTTTTACTATTTCTCCCAAGGTACGTGTTGGCTTGGAGAGAAATTGCCAACCTTGTCAATATATAATACAGTAATTAGTACAGACAGTATAAGCTCACCGCGCGCGTACACAATAATGTAGTCGAAAACTGAGTACAAGCTGATTTCTGGGCTGCCTATGGCAAAACAAGCGCGTCGTCACCTTGTTGACGACGTACTTTCACAGATTTTACGGCGTCGTAAATTTTTATTTGGATTCTGGTATTTTTTGTTGATATGCTGAACTTGTACCTTCACAAGCAAGAAGTAAGTAAATAATTATTCACTTATATGAATTCTGAAAAACTATTCGTTGATATTTCATTCAAAACGGAAGTGGAGAGCTGGAGAGGTGAACCGGAAGTTTGCGATCTGATCAGGACATCAGGTATTAAATAAACATTGTTTACATTTTGGTTTGCTTGTATATCGATAAACTTGCAGCAGTTTTTTACTTTCTTTTCGTTAAAACACACACGGAACTTAGCTCGAAAAATGCGATATGATTATAAAAGGCCTTTATCTTATTATGTTTTCTTTAATTTTTATGTGTATTGCTAAAATAGCAATGCACATAAAAAGAAAACATAGCGTTTTAAATACATCTATATAGTCATAGCATTTCTATTCACATTTATTCCTTGTATATTTGTATAGGTTTGCGAAAGCTCCGATTATGTCATGGACATCGTTTTCCTTTTACAATATTTAATGTATAGTGATTATATTATTGCTGTGAATAAATACTGTAGAAAGAAAATACGACAATAAACAAATATCGTATTGTTGGTTTTCAAAACGTACTATTTTCATTAAAACAAGTAACAACTTACCAACAGGCCCATAATTTTATAAATTAGCTATCATCGGCAAACATTGTCATTGATCTGATTTATAGAGACGGCTTATCCGTCTGGAGAATAAACATAGATAAATCTGAATATAAACATATAAGGCAAACTATCTAGGCGAACTATATATAGACGAATATTTCATACGGAACAGACTGACGAACATGCATGGCAGGGAAATCCAAATTCAAAATAATGGAAAAAATTTAATTAGTCTGATAAAGGAAAATTAAATTAATATTTTTTGTGGTAAAAAGAGTGCAATAGGGCAATAATTAGCGAATGTCCAATACTCTCGAAAGGATATACTGACGGAAAAGATTATTCACCCTCGGGACCCCAGCGAGCTCTTCTTCGAATTAGGCTCTATAGAATTGTCCTTAAACAAAAACACAATGTTTTTAACGCCTTATATCTTACTAAATCGGTACAATTAAAAATATACAACAGCCACTTTGCCATAGCTCTTATTTAAAGGAGAATTTCAGCCGCGTCGTCGTCGTGTTACCGTCCAATATGCTTAAGGTCCCTAGTGTCATCGCTTGCGAATACTTTACATTCAATGATTATTCCTGTACTTCTGCTCGACGAATGAAAGTTTAAAGTATAACCAACGTCTCTAAGGGGCTGTTTATCATGTTATCTGTTTCCAACAACTGACAACATGTTAGATGAAGTATATACTGTTTTAGCGCGCTTTTCAGTTGAACGCCATTTTTGTTAATATTGTTGTTTTTCCTATAGCTATTCATGTTTTATACGAAGAATCTAAATAAAACCAACTATAAACATCTGATAGCTCGGTCTTCAACCAAACGAAAGTGTTCTTATATCCATTACCCTAGGTTTAGCACTAAAGGTCATGTTACACAGTGCAATTTTTCTTCCAACTTCCAATGTAATTCTACTTTTAAGAGATGTAAATTCGTGACGGGTTCTCGAAATGTAGGTGTAAGAAACGTCATGGAGTGTATATAATAAAGACAAAAGTTGTGTAGTTGCCAAATTTACTTTTAAAAAAAGAATTGCATTGAAAGTTGCAAGAAAAATCGCACTGTGTAAGAGAGCCTCTTTAACTATGGGTTAAATTTAACCTGCTTTTGAACAACCGGCCCTTGGTTTTCATACAACATGCAATAAGACCCGTTTCACACCATATTTAGTTCTATATGAGCGAATACATTAATCAAAGCAATAGATATTGAGGCATTTCCGTTTAATATTGATTGTCTATGATGTATTTGGCATGTCAAAAAACGGCTTTTGAAACAGACGTGACTCGTCATAATGCGTCGCCATTCACTGATATGTCATAATTTGTTGTAATTCTGTTTTCATATGTCAAATTTCGCATAAAAACGGATTACTACAATTAGATTATACGTTCTCAAGCAGCTTATAGCATTCGTAATCGTATATAATTACATGTAATATATTTAATTTGTAATTTCAACTCGATTTATTTGTCTATTCGAAAAACAACGAATATTTATGTCATATTAGTGTTTGCCCTTTTTGAATCCAACCTATAAGGCGGAGCAATTTGGCAAGGAATTGACAACCTCCTGTGGCCTATCAGCATAAAAAAAAGGTTTTAAAGTATTCAAAATATTATCTTGTGACTTGTGATAGCTTTGTCTATATTCATAGAGGCATTGAATGCTATAACTGAATATACCAAGCTATATCGTGGAGGAATTGACCAATGCGGTAAAAGTTATTTAAAAGTATCTATTCTTCAGCAAGGTGAATATCATGATTACTGTTGTATATTTTATGGTAGTATAATGAGAATACAGTCTAGTTTAATTCTTCCGCGTTTGATCTGTATTGTGGGGAAAATAAGACTCCATTAACCATGTTTAAATTACTGTAGTCACAATACGTGTTAGTCGATACGAATGAGCGTTGTTAACTCCTGAAAGCAAGTCTGATGATTTTCGCTGTGGTGTTGCTTTCGTCTCGACGATAAGCGTCGACGTGAACAAACGTGATTTAAAGTAAATCAAAGTCTCATCTAAACATGAATTTTCCCGTCGAATATTCTACTCTATTGCTCAAGTATTGTACTCTATTGCTGTCTGTAATTTTCCT